AGTGTGGGGGACAAATTATGAGGGGGTCACTGTCACTTGGGGGAATCACTGTTAGTCCTTCTTTTATATCCCTACAATGGTGAGCACGATCATTCAAGACCCTTCATAATGTTTAGGGGGTTGAAATGGTCAAAGGTTGAGCTGTGAAAGTGGAAAAAGGAGAATGAGACACTTATAATTTCTAGCATATTTTGCCCATCCATAAATGTAAATCACCATCTTTAGATTCCCTTTCTCTTATGAGGAATTCCCCTGTTTTAGAAGTCATTAAAGTAGTTCCTTTTTTCATTTATTTCAATTGAAACTTAATTATTATAATTTAACATCTACATTGCAATAGAACATAGAAACCTCTCAGAAAGATTAGGGTCCCATCAACACTAGAAAATAAGGGTTTTCCCTCATGGAAAATATCAATGAAAATGAAAAATCATTCATTTTGGTTGGAAAATGTTTGGGTTCTTTGCTACTCTAATGCCTCCTGGACACTCTAGTTCAAGTGCCTCAGGCCCCATTCTCCTCTATAGGTTGCGCTCCCTTGTTGGACTACATCTTCTGTGATGTGTGTACCACAGTCTCTGCTCTGGCTGAGTGGAGGTTATATAGCATGAGAGTTCCATGGCCACGGTGCATTATGGGAGATGAAGTCTGGCTGTGGAAATTGGAATGGAGTGTGGAGAGAGGAGAATTGGAGTGTTAGGCACTGGAATTACAATTCCCATGAGGCACTGTGGCAGCACTTCAGAACTGAAATATTTTGGACTTGGGATGAAATATTTTCGCTTGTGGCCATTAAATTTTTGGATGAGAAATTGAAAATTTCCACTGAAAACAGGCACTTATTGCAAAAAATATGTCTTTAGCCAAAAACCCAATTTTCCAACAAAAAGCAGTTTTGACAGATTATTTTCTATCAGCCCTACTCAGCAGAGTAAATGACAGCCCCGTTCCATAAATCTTATAAGTTATCATTTAAAAGACCTTCCATGGCTTTATATTCAACATATTTAAGTAGTTGTAAAGTTCATCCTCCCATTTCCAATGTGGCTGTGAACCAAATCAAATAATCTCCTCACCAGGTTGTTTATGAATAATTTTTTTCAGTTGCAGCAGCAGAATGAAGAGTTATAGAGTGAATCTGCCAAAGTAAAGACACGATAGGAGACTTGTAAACTCACCAGAGACAGCTACAGGTCTTCTTTGTTGTATATATACTAGCAGCATCCCAGTTAATCGGATCGGAACAGAGGGAAAATTTCAAATGCATTTTCATTGAGAATTGCCACAAAGGAGTCTTATGGAGAAAAAAGCAACCAAACAAGCATTGTAAGGTAATAAGAAAAAAATTATGCACATTTTACAGATAAGCTCTAAAACTGTTCATTGACTTGGATCAGAGGATTTTCTAACTGAAATCAAACACTGGAAACAAAAGCAAAAATCCCAGCCAAAAATGTTTTCTATGAAAAGATGAATTATAGAGAGAGATCAGGTAAACCATATTTTACTCCCATGTAATGATGTAACCAGCTGCATTTTGTAAAGTACTAGAAGAACTGCAATTTATTTGATTTTCCAGTCGCAATAGTGGAATGACTGTATGACAAAGAGTTTTCTAATGATTCTTTCAGAGGACATGATTGTCTCTGTATCATAAAATAATTTGAACCACTATGTAGAATAAAGAAATCAATTGAATCTGAAAATGTTTGGCAAGATCATTGAGAAACTGTCTAGAGATGAACAGCTGGATCATCTTCAATAATTATGCTATTCCAGTGACAGATTAAAACATCTGTAAATGGTATTAGTGAGCTGATAATTACCAATGTGAGGACTGCAGGGCTGGGCTAGAAAGTTTGTTTTTCATGTGTTTGCAGTCTCTGAGAGTTTACTTTTACAAAATCTGTTACTGAGCAAACGTGATATTTCTTATGCATGTTAATGTCATATATCATTTCAACGTACTAAAGGAAGATAATATACTAAGCTCCTTTTCTGTAAACACTCTTATTCACATGTGGCTAGACCTATTGATTTCAGTAGTACTGTTCATTGGAGTAAAGTTATACACATGCTTAAATGCTTGTAGGAATAAACTTCATTAGACATAAGGGCTAATATTAATTCCATCAAAGTCATTTTTAAAACTCTCAATGACTTTAATGGGGTAAGGATTTGGCCTTCAATAGACACTATACTTTCTATATCTTTGGTGTAAAAAGTAGAAAGATCACAAAATGTTAAGCATACACACAGCATAATTGTCTTTTGGGGGAATTCATACTATAGGGTTATTTATATAAAATACAGATTATAATGAAGCTACATTTTGGTATCAGCCTGGTATACCTGATGTAAACCTGCAATATGTTTATAATGGAAAATGTTCATATTCTTATCATGCAATGGAGTTTCCAATGGATTTTAGAAAAGTTTGCCAAAAAGCTTTCATGTACTCTTTGGTTCAGAAATAGCTTAATGAACCTGACAAGCTGGGAGAAATAAAAGAAAAGCAGTAATATGTGAGGGACAAATAAAGGGATAGATAAAACAGGAAAAGGGATATGGACCTATAGAATTGAAAGGAGGAAGAAATGGGACTTACAGATGGGGCAGTTTGTTTGATTAAAATCTGTATTCTATTGAAGAATGAGTCCCTGATGTGTACATAATCTAAGCATCTAACTAAATTTGGAGACCTTCTAGCATGAGAAACTCCCAACAACTTGAGTCTTGTGGTTTATGATGTCACCAGGAACTCTTGTTGGCGTTATTGGCTGTCATGGAGTCTGAGGGAGACAAGGCCCTGCACCCCCGGCTTCCTGCGATTCACCATGACTCTCAGCCAGCCAGTAACACAGAAGGTTTATTTAGACAACAGGAACACAGTCCAAGACAGGTCTTGCAGGTACAGACAACAGGACCCCCTCAGTTAGGTCCCTCGGGGGGGGGGGGGAGGCAGGGAGGCCAGAGCCCCATCTAGGCTCCCCTCCATTTTCCCAGCCAGCTCCAAACTGAAACTCCCTCCAGCTCCTCCCCCAGCCTTTGTCCAGTTTCCTGGACAGAGGTGTCACCTGGCCTCCAACCCCCTTCCTGGGTTCTCATGTTACGTGTTCAGGTATCTTCCCCCAAGGAAAGTCTCCCATCCCCCCATGCAGACAGTCCCAGCAAAGCTCCCCTGCAACCTTCCCAGGCCAACACTCCCCACTCAGCATTCAAAGAACACATTAAGAACATTCCCACTTCGTCACACTGGCAGAATACAATTCCTTATTTTACCACTGTGAAACAATATTGATTAAACTCCAGAACTCTAAGAACATATAGATAACGTGTACATTTATGTATATATGTGTGTGCACACACTATCACACATCAGGGCCGCCCCGGGGGGGGCAAGTGGGGGCAATTTGCCCCAGGTCC